ATTGATTGCCTGGCGGCCGTCTGTGTTGCCTTTCTACGAGTCAAGGCTGTGCATGGTCAGCGGCTTGAACTTAGGGGCTCAGTTTACGTATTCTACTATCCCCGCTGTTGAATAGCGTTAACCAAACAGTAGTATGGGGTAACTTGGGAAAAATATATTTTGTCCATGTTTGCTAGGCTTATGCTTTGCATGCGCCCGTGACCAAGCACAGTGAATAGAAGGGCCACAAATTGTTATTTTCATGTGGTTCCAGTTTATTTCGATAGGGGGGCTACTTTAAATATACAAATGTAGCTCATTTCTTGGGATTTCATTTTTAACACCAGTCACACTCTCCCAAAACACAATCTTCCCAGATATTACACTTCCCAACAAAGCTTGGAAGCGACTTTCTGAAGCTTTGAATTAAATTTGAATTACTGTTAGTTTACATGATATTGATAATCTCTTTGCCCAATCAGCTAATAGGGCTATTTATTTCTTATTTTCTATCTCTTTCATTTCTATAACTGCACGTCTTCTCAACTAAATCCCCCATGTACATTACTCCCCACATTTTCAAACCCGACACAAATACGCCCTACCCGATCATGATTGGGTAAATCAGCTTGTATAAAATAAATGGAAGTTCATGAGCACACGGCACACTATCAGAGTAGTGATATAAAGACCAAAAAAGGGTGGTACATTTGACACAAAACTAGCGCAATAGAGTGATGAAACTCCTCTAGCAACAGCACTTAATCATTTTCTCTTTTTGCAATATTGTGAACCTTGACAAGGAGAGATAACATTAAATTTCTACTGCTTAAAAATTCACAAGATGTATGTCAATTACCTTGATCCAGCTCCAGATTCATCTCCCTCCACACCTACAAACAATATCCACAAATCATATTAATGAAACAAGACAATACTACATTATTGAGTTCTTCAGTGACTGAAAACAAATTACAAACTTGACTAGACATTCATGTTTGTCGAGTTACAAATGCAGGGTGATCAGGCAGACAACTGTTTCATTAGACACTGCCGAGTTAAGATGTGAACAATATTTTTTATGTCAAAACAAAAAATGGATCACAAAATCAGCCTTTTTTCAGTAGAACCAGTTGTTTAGTTTGAGGAAAAAACCTTGCAAAGTCATTTAATATATTAAAATATCCTACATTGTCTTTCTGTCTGATGTCTGTCACGGAAGTGGCGGTCACAACCGGAAGACAAGTGTGAGGGCACACATGATGTCTGATGTAAAATTCATCAGGAGTATGCTAGGTGCATAATGTCTGATATAAGATGCATCCAGTACATGTATGTCCAGTGCTGAAATGGTATATATATGACCCCCCATTAGACCATCTTTGAAATCACAGTTTGGGACGTGAAAAACATTTATTCCTTTTGCTTTGCCTTTTTGGCAAATATCTTTCTTTCAGACTTTCAATACTTAAATATCACAGCATTATCTCTACCAAAACACTCCAAAATGTATCGCCATTACTCAAAACATAACGTTCATGATAAGAAAAACAGGTCCCCAAGTGTACGTCGATCGTACGATATGGATAATGCATTTCGAAACATGACTGTGTTACGTCAATTGAGGGCGCACTGTCAGCAGCGTTATAAGACAATGAATCATGGAGGTAGTTTCATTGATAAATCTGTCAAGTTTTCTCTCAAAATAGTTGATTTTCCCACTTCCTATTTTCAATAGCAGGTGCTCATTGCAAAGGTAGGCTCTCTGTAGCTGATGTGTTTCACGTGATAATGAATAATTCCGAAATTTTGTGGGATTTATCAGACAAAGACAATAAAAAAATGTCTGTCTGGTCAGACATGTCAAATGAGAGTATCAAGTCACCCCGCTCGGTCCCTGGCAGATTTGCCCTAGATTTTCGGTATTTACTTAGTACATCTTTATTTCTTTTTTACACCGACAATTTTTTAACCTGCAAACAATACAAACTTTATGACTGCACCCAGCTAGCAGGTGCCGTGCGAAGGGCGGCATCCCGGTAGTTTGGTGAAAATTAGACGACTGGTTTTTAAAAGTAAGAAAAGCGAACACTTTAAATCAACCATCATGGAAAACAAAGGCGGGGGAAAAAAATTAAAAAGGTTCTGCCAGCAAACAGAAAATTATTCCAAAGTCTTTTCTTTCCCAGAATGGGGAATTCGTTGATGATCTCAAGGACATTGCTGATACATTTAATGAACACTGTCAACAATCGGAACATGTATGGCCAGTAATGCACCTCCATGTGAGCTCTTGAAGAGGACAACAATATCAACTCTTGTGTTACACATTCACTTGATGAAAAATGCTTACTGCCTGATATTGCAGAAGACTTTGTTCAAAAGCAAATATCATCAATGTCGGTCGGAAAAGCAACAGGTCTGGATGGAATAAGTGTGAAAATGATTAGAATAGCGTTTCCGTACATAGACCAAATCCTTGACATACAATGTACATCTTTAGCCTCTCGATGTGAACAATATACATGTATACCCTAGAGAGTGGTAACACGCCTTGGTTACACCTATTCACGAGTGTGGGGACAAATGTAATACGACTAAACTATCAGCCTATCAATACTGCCTTTTATCTCAAGATTCTAGGAAGATAGAAACACTCTGCAGTCTATTCATACTTGATGATTTATCTGATTCCTTGTTGTCAGTCAGTGTTTAGGCCCTTACACTGAACAAACTACCTTGCATGATTTAACGAACAAATGTTTTCAGGCTATGGAGCGTGGGGAAATGACAGGCACTGTGTTCATAGATTTAAGTAAGGCATTTGACTCTGTTAATCACACAAATCTCCTAGACAAATTGAAAGGGTTAATATGTCAACCTCTGTTATCAACTGGTTAGTGTCATATCTAAGTGAACGTAGTCGATCTGTGAATATTTAGGGCAACATATCTAAAGCCATACCACCTAACAACGGCCACAGGGATCAATTTTAGGTTCACTGTTATTTATTATTTATACAAGTGACCTACCGCTTTGTATCCCTAAGAATGTAATTTGTACATTTATGCTGACGACTCAACATTAACGTGTAGTTCTACATGTGTTGATGAGATAGAGATCAACTTGAATACAGCCCTAGCTAGAATTTACGATTGGTGTGTCAGAAACAAACTTACAATAAATGCCAACAAAAACAAATCTTATTGGAACTAAAATAAAAGTCTGCAGTGCTGACCTTAATGTCAGTATTGCTGGTAGTCCAGTTGTAAAGGTGAACTCTTGTAAACAAATGTTTGGGTTTTATTGATGAACCTGTAAGTTGGGGCCCACACGTTGAATATGTGAAGACAACCGTTGCCTCTAAACTGGGTATGCAAAATAGAGTCCACGACTATGTTCCCCAAAGCAGCCTGTACTCTCTTTTTGTTATCTTAGTTTATGCCCATTTAGATTATTGTAGTACTGTATGGGGAGGACAGTACATATCTCATGACAATGTTATTGATAAATGTCTGAAAAGAGCCGCGCGGACAATCCTGAAGCGTGCTTTCTCAACTCCTTCAGCCGATATGTTTGCTAGTCTTAATTGAATGTCATTTTCTGAAAGGATTGAGTATGAAAAGGCTATTCTTGTTTACAAATGTATTAACAAAATTACTCCTTTGTATATATGACAAATATGTTCACACCACTTAATCAGATTCGTGAAATATGACAATCCACTAATAAGGCCCCAAGGAATCCTTGTGCAAAACAAGAGTATGTTATGTCTTAAGCTTTGCTGTAACTGGTACAATCATATGGAATAATTTGCATGTACAGTTGAGAACCAAGACTTCTCTAACCTCATTCAAATCTGAACTACGTAAAACATTCAGCCAGTAATATTTTTGCAAATAATTATGTGAGTATTTTTTCGCTGTCTTCACTGATTATGATACAAATCTAAATGTCTGCCGATTTACGGAGTTAACCAACTTGGTTGCCATAATAATGTACCGTTTAGAAGAAAAGTCACAGAGAATATTTGCCGAGGGGAATAATACAGAAAATGAACAATTTCAAAATGTGATCAGGTTGTCGATCACGCAACTATGAAATGTGCTTCAAATTTGCCCTTTTTGCTGATCTGTTTACCTGTTCGTGATATTATTTTTTTTTACACATCAACTTTATGAACCAAGATAGTGACGGATACCAAATCCTCTCCAGAACTGCGTATCAAGTAAAAGTATGTACATGTATCAAGTAAACTGATCATTAATAGCCTGATTGCCTATACATGTATTAAGACTTGAGAATTCTCTTGTTTCCACAGAATTCTACTTGGCAATAACAAAGCTTTATTTCACTCAAATATAACCACAATATAGCATCATCCAAGTGTTTTATCTGTCTATAACTTGCGAAGCATGGAACCATCCACATACATACCGGTGCCATCAACGTACTGATATGCTGCAGATGTCTTGATGGGAATGGATGGGGGATGCTCATCCATCCCAGAATCATCATATTCATCATCAGTGAAGGAAGCCCAGGAGGTGCTACTGCTTAACACAGACTCACGGTTCTGCCCCAAAGAGCTCTGTTCAGACACTGTTGAAACAATAAATAGTCTCAACACTATACAAATAAATGATACATTGATTTCAAATCAGCAGCATATTCACAGCAAAATATATGGTGCCTCTTGCTTCCATGCTTAATGGCATTAAGATGGTACTCACTACTCAGGATCACTGGTAGTGGTACTAACAAACTCTAAAACTTTAAGAGACAAGATGCAAGATCAACTATTTACATGAACATCTCTTCCATTGCAATAAAAAAAAGGTTAAGTGAAAATAAAGGAAACAGCTGAAAAAAGTTGGCTTACCATGTCGACTTGAAAGAATGTTTGGCTCATTGTACTCCCCTGGGGCTTTATCAAATACAGGCATTTCATCTTGACCTGTCCCTTCTGATGACCTACGACCTGGTGGACCACCAACTTGGATGACCTCATAAGCCATGGATTGTGCGCTGCCCTTCCTGTCTGTGATATCCTTACTGTTACTTGCTGTAACAGGAATAATCACTTCTGAAGCATAGGAATAATCATCCAGTATTCTGGATGATTTTTTGGGCTCTATGGGATTTCCACCATCTGCAGGATCGCTGTAGGCTAATGAATATGAAAGAGCTTGTCCAGTTCTGAGTTGTGGTCTAGATTGGGCATCTTTTAATTTTTCAATAACACTCACAGGTTGGACTGCATATGTGTATTCTGACTTGTCACTATCGGGAACAGGTTGTGGAGGTCTAGATAAGTCAACTGTTTTCTGCGCTGAATTTGGCTTGAGGAAGATTCTGTTTTGTGGGTGACTTTGCATCTACCTTATCTTTATGAGATTGGAGTTTAACTGATGCTACTGGCTGGATCTGATACTGAAACGCTTTGGCAACTTCTTGCTTCTCATTAGAAGTTACATCTTTTCCCAAAGGTGAAGTAATACCCACTACTTCATAAGATTGGTGTTTACTTGCATCAGATTTGCTCACTGGCTTCATGCCGGCTGGTGGTTTGGGAGGGGCAGAGGAAGGTCTACCTTTAGAGTCTCTCCTTTCCTTGCCTTTTTTGACTTCCCCTTCCTTATTATCATCTCCGTCTGGTTGTTTCCCAGTGTAGCCTTGACTACATTCTTGGCCCGTTGGAACTGTGCTGTTCCCAAGTGCTGCACCTTCTCATGATCTTGGACTGGTTCACTCGTTGGCCTTCTTTTCAGTCCAGAGAATGGGCTTGTTCCATGAGGGCTGCCTCCACTGCCTGTGTCTTTCTTCCTCACAACAGCTGGTTTCATGGCCAGAAGTGGGCGTGATGATTGCAAACCTTTGACTGGTTTCTCTCCAATGGCAGGCTTATCACTCAGTGGAGGTTTGGAAGGAGAAATTGGCTTGTCAGAGTCAAGATCCAATGACCTTGAAGATGATATTGGAAGCACAGGTCTTGCACGGGGAGTTGGTTTTACCTGCTCCGTTGATTTTGGAGGTGTAGATCTGACTTTTGAAGGAGGTTCCTCAAATTCCTTGAAGGCAGCTAATGTGTTCTTGTAACCACTCTCAAATCTCTCTTGGGCCAAGGGGCTTTGTTTTGGAGTGAGGGCAGGACTCAATGAAGCATCTTCCTCCATTTTTCCTTCTGTCTCTGCCTTCTCTAGGGAATTAGCAGACACTGTTTGGCTGCTATCTGTATCAAGTTGTTGCTTGGTAGGTAATGATGGGGGCTTCAGGATCTTCATCCCAGTAGCTGTTGGAGATGGACTTTGTTCAGATACTAGTAAGGAAGCAACAAGCCATATAAGGGATGTTAGTAAGGCAGTTTAAGTCTATTTACTCAAAATTCAAATCCTTTCTGAGAACATAACATAAGTAATTTCAAACTGTTGATTTAAACTTCTTACTCGCTGACTCTAACTTAAAATTAAAAGAAATTGAACTTGTTGAATTGAATTTTAAAGTAATTTACTTTAATTTTACAATTAATATTAAATTATAAATGCATTAATTCGGAAATATGATGGACATTTTTTTTGCGTTTATACACTAGTAATTCACTGCCAAAGACTTGATTGTTGAGTATACAAATATTGAGTGGCTCAGCGTGGAATAGGAGGAATATTATCGTAAGGTGAAATCTGGACTTATCCTTTCACAAGGCGAAGCTGAATGAACTGGAAAAGTCCAGATTTTACCGAGCGATAATATTACTCCCATTTCACAATTTTAAGCCACTCAATATTTGCTTAAACTGACATAAAGATCCTTGTCATTTGAACTTTTATTTCAATACAAAATTGGTGGAAAATGTATTTCTCTCTTCCAAACCGCCCCTTCACAAAAATGTTTGAACCCAACGCTGTAGCACTGGCTCTTTGGAACAATACGCGCTACGCGGAACGCTGAACGCGCACACCAGCATGCATTTGTGCACAAATACCGCGTCATGGAAAAAGAATGATCCTAACTGTTCAATAGTATTTCCCATTTTTGAGCCCCGGCGTTATATAATACTTGTTAACCTCTTGCCATAGGATTTTCATGCCTCACAGCACAGGCTTACACGCATCACTGTACAGTAGCCTCCGCGCAGTAGTGGCAGGGGCGGCACTGCACAGTAGCAGCTGCCTACAGACGGCATACCTCAGCATTATCACGGCATACTGGAGCGCGGCTATAGCCGTCAGCATGAGTGAGGAGGGGTTACAACTCTTTGACAGCATCCTATAAAAACAGCTAAAACATTTTCTGGGGCATATTGACAGAGCATTACCCTTTCCTTGAATGACATGATTGACATAGTTGTGGCCATGGTCCTGTTCTTTATCTTTTTGCCGGCGTTGCTTAGGACTTAACTGAATGAAAACAGACAACAAACAAACCATTAAGTTGCAATGTAGAGCTACATTTAAACATTGAACACAATTGTGTTGTGGATATCAACTTACGTCTGATGCAAGTCAAGTCTGAGCTGAAGTTTAAACTGAGAACTAAACGCGGACTGATATTTTGTTTGAGTCTCACTGGAAAGTTGATAGCTTTTATAATATTAACAAATGATCAATTAGATTCTTTGGTAACTTGGAGATTGGTCAAGTAGATTTTGTTCCTTAGGAGTCATCTCATTAGTTAGTCTGGATAAGTTGCTGAAAACTTGACCTGCAATAGGCCCACTGTATTGAGTATCAGGAATAGTCCTATGAACAAGTTATCAACACTGTTTACAAACTGATTACTTCATTGTGGGAGGATTCCAGACAACTATCCGATTGGAGATAAACGTCTTTGCAACTTATCATGGATATTTATTGAAATGACTCATTTCGATACCCTTCATGACATTATAAGAACTAGTAAAAGGAAAATGTTTCAACGGAAACTGTTATGCACATCATTTGAGCATGGCATTTGTACGGTGTACTAAATTATGTTTAACCCATGTGGTATTTGATTGAAATGAATATGCATTGTAGTTACTGAGTTATCTCACCTTAATTTGCTGTGTTGATCTGATATCTGGGCTGAGATTACCTGCACCAGGTGGCATTCTAGGTCCCTGGGAATAGTGCACGGATAATACCTGTGGTTAGATCTTAAGGTACACATTTGTCTTGAGATTGCTAAAATTCAGTGTATTTTATTGTTTACTAATCATATTCCAAAGGGCTGGGTCACAAGAACTCAACACAGTTAGTGTCTTCCATGTACTAAGAGAACGTTGGCAAATCCCACCACCAAACTACAAGCAAATAATGCCAACAAATTATATTCCACAGCTGACAATTTCAGACAAGTGCTGCATGTAATGATACCAAGCAGGCGACAATGCTATGTGTGAAATCAGACACTTATAAGCTGCCATGTTAATGAGACATGTGCGTCTCAAGCACAGGTTTTGAAAAAAAATGTGGCATATGAATCAAGACCAGTACCCTTAACTCCTCTGAATGATGATTACACAAAAAATGTAAATTCTCAGGATATAGTTGAGTGCATGTTTATATTCTACTTGTTACTTGTTAGTGATATTTTTTCAAATTGGACTTCAGTCTCATGCATGCGTGTTGAAGTTAACAACAAAATGAGTCATACAAGACCAATACAATTTATATACAAACATGTGATGTATACAATTGGTTCCAAAAGGGAATTTTAAGCAAGATTACATGTATGTCAAGCCAAGAATACAAGACAGTGGGCTACAATCTGCTATCTTGTTTGCAACATCTTCTTACCTCACCAATCAGTGATTCCAATATTAACACACACACCATGTTTTGGATACTGAATGAGGAAGAGGATGTTGGTGCTGAAATGAAATTCATGATAATTGAATAAACAGATCCACCACTTTCTTAAGTAAGGGTACATGTACGTGTACATGAAGCTTATCTTTTGGTTTGGGATATTTTTTCTTTTGTTTTTTTGTGTGCTTGATTTACACATTTGCTTAACCAGAATGTGTTTAAAAACAGTGACAAGTAACAAACCTCATTCTGTAATTTCACATTTTCATAGAGATGACCATAGTCATGAGGGTTGGGTGCCAAACCCAATGCCTTTCTGAACAGCCAGGCCACTGCTCTGTGCACTAATTCATACTGATCCTGTTAGAAGATACAAGCAAAAATCAAAGAAAAAAGGAATTGATTTTTTTTTGATAAGGGGGAATACTACACAGAGATCCTTCACACTGAGGTTTAACCACATTTTGTCATGATATTAAGTTCCACTTCCTGGTTTGGTACCCAAATAAGTTAAATACTCTCAAAAAGTGTGTTATACAATTATGGAATTCCCAATCATTCAAGGAGCACTCCATTTACAAGTGACAAAGGACACTCCAAAAAGTTCATCCATAAAACTTCAACCATAGATTCTGAACAGTTTAAGAGATATATCTCAATAGAAATGAAATTCTATTAAATTTAAAATTAAAAAAAACCTGAATTTGAAAATACTTTACGCCGATACAATGTTTGATCAAGTAAACTGCTGTGTTACATGTACATGTACATACATTTGAAATCTTACCCTGGTCTGAACAATGGCAGGTCTTTGCCTCCTCATTTCCATGATGATGTCATACAGACAGAAGTCCGGTCCAATTTTCTGAATTAAATTTAAAAAGAAAGATTATTATTAGGTTTTTGTGTTCAGAACACATTGATATACCTAAAAGTATATTCGTATGACAATCCTTAGTATTGTTGCTTTGTCTTCATTTGCAAATGAGTCTTGTTAATGGCTAAAGTCCTGTCAAGAAAAAAATATACAAGTGTATGGGATAGAAAACAAGAAGCAGAATAAAAAGAATTTTTAAAAACTAGAGGTCTGCGTATCTGTCTTAAAGGTTCAAACCTCGCTCCAGACTTGAAGAATAAAATGAAATTTAAATGTGAATTTAATGTACTGGTATAAGAAAAGATAGCTTGCTGAAATGAATTATCAATCGTTACCGGACTTGAGGTACCGGAAAGTCATTAACAAACAGTGGAAGCACGTCTCACGAAAAAGTACCGAGCGGTACCGGCGGCCGGCCGTGCGCGAGTACCTGGAGTGAAAGCTGTCTTCGTCAGTGACCGTACCATTAGTGCAGCTAGCTGCTGCATGCATGCCCCATATGCACTCACTTGTGTACCACACCATTTGTGGTAATAAAGGGGTGTACTTTCTTGGGAACAATAATTATCAATATTTCCGCTGTGTCAAAAAAAAAGACAACTTATAATTTTTATGAAGTCCGAAACGTTTCTTTATTGGACAATCAGTCGTTCAACGTCACAATATAATTTTTTCTGAAAATGTATTCAAGAAACGCTGTAAAATGCAAAACAGGGGCTAAATCACCCCTTATGAAATTAATGGATTCGTCCATAATAATGCATGCATCGTGTTGACTGTTTTCGAAGAAAGTACGATCAAAAACTTGATTTAGTACTCGTTGGTAATCACAACAGTTTGATAAGTTTTGTTGTAAAGAAAAGACCTTTTTATTCTTAGGACAAAACAAATTAGCATCTGTTGACACAAAGCAAGATTTGCATTGCTCCAGTCAGACGACACATGGTGGGTTGCATACTCTCTCAAGTACTGCGGGAAAATGTTGTCATTCACCGGCACAGGCTGCCGGGCCATGCACTAACTTTTAGGCCGGGGACCGGAAGGGCCAGCCAGCAGCAATTCAACTTCCATATTTGTTGTAACGAGTATCGACCGTAAATGTTTTGATAAAACTTTTGTGGAAAATTTTATAGCTTTCGTAGTGTGAATGGGACTGGTCCAAGGCTTTTTGACTTTAGAATTTTGAGGCCTTTTCAAAATTGAAACCGCTGCGGTCAGTGCGGCTTATACGCCGGTGTGGCTAATACGCCGACGTAAATTTAAATTTGCAGATTTTTGCATGCTGCGGCCTATATTCTGAAAATTACGGAAGGTAATAGAGCATTGACAGTGAGGTCAGCAAAGAAACGTCACAAAGATTGGTGTCTTGCAGAGGGGACGATGGTGAGGGTGAGCGTCAGCCCCCAACCACAGAGGACAGGAAGGGGGAGGATCACACTGGTCCCTAGACAGAGAATCCTGAAAAAAACTTGGTGTGAATACTCAGACAACTGGAGATTCTAGAGTTTAGGTCTCTGTGTGAGGTATGGTGGCCGTGTCAGAGCCAGGAGGTACCGGCATAGGTTGGTTGGTTGGGAGACATTCCTAGGTTAGAACGTGAGCTCGAGTGAAAGAAGGCTGATAGGAGGTCAGGGAGCTAATAGCCTGAAGTAAAGCCGGTCACTGCAAGCAGACTAAGAACAGTGAACCCATCCCGGGAACAGTCCAGGGAAAATTTGAAATTCGTCCTCTTTCTGATTTCAAGCTAGACTGCAAAAGTGACAGCCCAGAGGCTGCCATGAAATCAAATACCAAGGAACTAGTCAGAGTCTCTGCAGGTTGAGGAGTAAAGCAATGGGGTAAACTGTCCTGATCTGCAGGCTGTGTGGAGCAGTGCGAGGGCAGTGGCTGGGAATAGTCAGTCTGCATGAGTCCATGTAATCACCCAAGCACAAATTATCTCACATTTGAAAGTAGGGTAACTGTTGAAGTACCAACAGATAATGATTTTGAAAAATTCTTTGATAAGAAAACAAATATTTAATGTTAACTTACTTCTGCTTTCAGAAGAGCACGCACATAATCAATGCAGATCATTGTACCTGTGCGTCCACAACCAGCACTGAAGGAAAAAAATATATACATGTACATTAACATTAAACTTCATTTGAACCCATGAAGCAGCCAAACAATAACTTTGCCAAGGTCCCTTTATTCTGGTCAAGTTACATTTTTGTTTTTGAGTGGTTGGGCACAACCCGACCACTCTTTGGAGTTGTTACGATTAATCTGTTTCTCTTTCTTTCTTTTTTTCCGGACAATACTTCTTTACGGGTTTTCTCCTAAATGGTTTATGATATGAACTTGTAACTTTCAATATATATCAACCCTCATCCCAAGCAATTTAAGGGCCAAATTTTTGAAACTAGTTTCGGCTATATATCTTTAGAACTAAATAGAGTATCGTGTTCGTTTTTGCTTGAGGTTGTAAATGATGCCTCGGGCAACATTTCTCATTCCCAGACAAAAAACTGCTTGACCTTCACTTCAGATGTTACCGGAAGTGAAATAAAAATTGAATAGAACTCGAAAGCGAAAGCTCTTTACTATAAGCAAATAATATGGAAGTGTTTGGAATGGAATAAAGGACACCAAAACAGCATTATGACTTCATCATTTGAAAGAGCGCCCTCTAGCTGTACATCATATAGGGTTTCCTTTTCTTAATTTAAAAACCATCCGTCCAAATTTAACCAAATCACCCCTCGTTATTTTTTTATCAACTACATGTACATAATTCTAACTTTGCAAGGTTTCAAAATTATGACGTCATCAGACCAGCAGTTTCTGTAGAAAGAATTTAAAAATGATCATTTTTTAAAATTCTATCATTTGATCCCTGTCTTATGACTTTGTTCGTAGCCCAAATAATGACATTCGTTACAATATGGACCTTTCGATCTTTAATGCTGTGACGTCATCAAAACGGAAGTTAGGTGTTATTAATACATACACTTAAATTTTCCATATTTCATACGTTATTTTAACTTCATAATGAACATAGTATGTGTCCTTTTGTACTAAATTAGTATTCACTTTCCCATTTTGGACTGATAAAGTCATCAAACCAGAAATAACTTGTATGTGAATATAAAATGTGTACTGAAATTTGATACTTTTTGTTTTAAACAAAATCATTGATTTTACTGGAAAGGTTAAATTTTTGTGATCCTTAATTCTGACATAAACTTATTCAAAAATTAACTGGGCTGTATCTAATGAAATACATGTAGCTGTCGGCCCAACCACTCTGCGTTTGTATCTCAACAAACGCCTTAACCTCTAGTTTGCTTTGTTTCTTACATGGAAACTCTTCCGACTTTTTTTCTTTACCATTTCAGCGTGTTCAAGAACCATTTGCAGTTTGAAACATTGCATCAATAAAACAAATCCAACACACCTGCAATCTCTTTACATGTTAGGCCAAACAAACAAAAATTTGGTCTCTGGTCAGCGTGCGCATCGATTTTGATCATGCACGTCAATTTAATTTTTTTTTTCAAATTTTCCTAGGTAGCGACAACAGCGCCCTCTATTGCCGCACTGTTTCAGATTTTCATTAGCAGCTCGACATCGTACCCACAGTGATAGATCCGGTACGAGGTTGATGTTGAACGAATGATAGTAGACCATGGGTACGAGGTAGCTGCCAGCTGATCAACAACAATGGCGGCTAGTCAAATACTACACACATTTCGAAATGATGACATGTGATGTGTGTAAAATGGGTGAAAAATCTTTAAAAGTACGTCAAAATCTAGCCTTGGTCAAGTCGCTAGTTGTTTTTTATCCGGCCGTAGTGTGGTATAATGCATGCAGTCATAATGTCTATGCGCTATGCATGCAGTACAGTGCATTAAAAATACAGCGCGAACAGCGACCTCACGCGGCCACTATTTTTATGCAAATCAGTTGGACCCAATATAGCGCCTTGGTTCAATCGTCCATGTGAGGTTTTGGAGGTGGTGCTCATTATGTTAATAGCCTTAGCTGACCTTAAATGTCGTTCTCTTATTGGTCGATCGTGCGGGGAAACTTGCTTAGTAAAATGTGGCACCGTACATAATCCATACATGTACACGTACACGTTATGTGTCTCTCTGCACACGGCACCAATGCGCACAAACTGTGGTTCCTGTCACGTCCGCAAAAGGCGAATAGCTAGCTGTAAACAATTTGATGACGTCCGGATTTACCAAGGTGTGATTGGACACTCCACATATTAGCCCCGCCTACACTTATCTGTATTCGCATACGAGGTCGTGCGCTAGAAATCCAGCGCAAAATAAAGAAAAACATAAGCGTTTGCCGACGATTGAACCAAGGCGCGATATTGGGTCCAACTAATTTGCATAGAAATGGTGGCCGCATGAGGTCGCTGTTCGCACTGTATTTTTAATGCACTGCATAATGCATGGCCCTAGCGAGGATATGGTTTACGCGCCACGGCCGGGATGAATAACATTTAGCGCCTTGACCAAGGCTAGTCAAAATCGTACATGTTAGGAGCTCTGGGAAGGACACAAAGGCAAATGATGGAGGGCACCAAGGCAAATGAGGACACAAAAAAGCCAATATTACCCACCAATCCAAGCTTGAAAAAAAAAACATAATCAACAAGAAAAAAAATACAGTCGTGCGACTTCCAAATAGTTTGTGCTGGAGGGCAACTAACACAAATAACAGATGAAGACTTCGACTAAACGAAGATTATATTAACACATCTCAAAACAATTTTGAATATCTTTAACAACCAACTTTTCTCACAATGTTGATCAAGAGCACTGACAAAAATATATCAGGCTTGGACTGGATTCAATGTTAAAACCTTATCTTAGACATCATCTCTTCCAGTGATTGAGTTGTGACTGCTCTAGCATGCTTCTTTGTAATATACTCACCTACAGTGCATGACAACAGGGTTGTCTTCATTTGGCAAATACTCTCGGAATAGCTGGATCATGTCCATGATAGGCTGGACTGTCTTAGGCACACCATGGTCAGGCCAGGCTGTATAATGAAACTGATTCAGCACCCTCTCTTGCTGTTCACATATAAAAACAAAAAACAACACAAACTAGTGCTTTGCCAATTTACAAAAAAAAAACAGAACAAAAGGCTTCAGACCCTTCAATTATTGCCTTCAACTCATGATTCTAATAATTTGTTACAACTTGGGAGACTTTGAATCAATGTTCAGGCTTTTTAAATTCAAAGATGCACAAGGAACGACACCATGATGACTTCGCATTTTCGTTCATGACTTTGCACAGCTTTTGACTTAGATATTCAAACAGATCTCGGAATTCAGGCTCAGCATTTCTCTACATACCACGCTAGTATTTTCAAATTCAACTATTTTACCACACCTCCATTTATAGAAGATCCATTATTTTTTAAAGTTTGAAATTTTGAAGTAGTGCCTGCACTGCTATTTAGAGAAAAAAATGGACAAACTTAAATAATTCACACAAAACTCTAGAAGGGTGAAGCTGGCCACCATGGCTCGCTGTTGAAGGCAGGAAGGGAGGCCGAGGGAATGGTACAGTAGGGTTGGGGATGGGCATGATGGAAGGGATTCAGGATGATGTGCCAAGGTGTAGGGGTCAGCTTTTAAATGCCAGCAAAAAAGTCAATAAATGTCCTTACAAATACATTTGTACATGGGCTAGCAGTCACCGCGTTGTGGGGAAGTTTTTCATTGTTAGGGTAAATTAAGACCTAGCTGGGGACTTTTTGCAGACCCCACAGCGTCTTTGGTCCCCATATTACCATGGGAGAACTTGTGTGTAGTCCCCACAAATGAGGTACCAGTACAAGAATGGTTATTAGACACACCACCATCACCACACCCCCCAAATCTTACCCCATCCCCAACCCCACCCCTTCCTCCCCCTACCCATGCATCCCCACCCCACCACCTACACATCCCCACCCCACCCCAACTCCAACCCCTACACCCACCTACCCCACACCCACCTACCCTACCCCCTACCCATCCCCACCCACCCCTACACCCCACCCAAGCCCCTACTCCACCCACTATCCCCCACTCCACCCCCACCCTCCCCCACACATCGATCCCTACCCCACCCTTACTCCCATCCCTACTCCAACCCCATAAAACTAAAAGATCAAACCAGAAGCACATGCCCATACACATGAATGCTCCCCCAAAATTACACACATACATGTACAATGTACCGGTAGTACATTGGAAATTAATGCATACATGTACATGTACATGTACATTTTATACCCGTATATGTACATGTACATGTATCGGTACATGTTATACCGGTACATGTATATGTACATGTACATGTACATTTTATACTGGTACATGTATATGTACAGTGTACATGTACATGTACATTTTACACCGGTACATGTATATGTACATGTACATGTACATTTTATACCAGTACATGTATATGTACATGTACATTATATACCGGTATAAAAACTTTAACATTTTCTTGAATTAAAATTCCTCAATAAAATCATAACATTTACTGCAATGAAATGAACCTACAGTACATGTAATTAGAAGTTATACAGATGATACATGTAAACTACATTTCTTTTTTTTAAACCAAATTAGCTAGAACCAAAACCTTCAACATTGTAATCTGAATGCAGATGGCCGGACCGCGCCGCCGGACGGACATTGCGACGGACAGGCTCACATCTGCTTAGCAGCTCGCCAAAAATCACACATTGATGTCTTCATGGTTAATAAGTATTTTATCATGTCCAGAACAAAATGTCTTTCAATGTTCGTAAAATTAAATTTTGTTTTGAGCATTTTGCTCAGGGTAGTCTGTTTGACATAAGTATGAAGTATTTCCATTCCATTTTGTGTTATGAAACCAGGAAATGAATTGAAAATAATTTCAATACCAGTTAGCTTCAATGACATGAATTTGTTAGATAAAGGCAACGTACACAGAGAAATCAAACTGAAGGGTGCTCCATGTATTACACATTCAGCATCTTGTTGACAAAATGCACATAACTTTGGCACTCAGTCATCCTGTTAAGCCTCTCATGAATTATTAATGTTAACCCAAGTTACAATGAACTCTTGCACTACAATTTACACAGTAATTCGAAATTGTTTTGAAAATCATGATTTTCTTTGCATTGTTTGAGCACACTGCAAATCAATAAATGCCAATTTATATTGTCTTTAATAAATTACTATAAAACAAAAATAGAAGTTTTCCTGGGATAAAAAGTAACAAGACAAGGTGGAATGGGACATGAAATACCCGCATGTACGTGTTTACTACTACCATTTGGGGGGGGGGGGACGAAGTGAACAGTGGGCTATGAATAATGTTAAATTTTGTTGAAAATGTCATTTTTATGGACTCAAAGGTAAGATCAAACCTGTTAGAAATGTAACACGATGAGAAAAATACGTAGAAAAGGGATTTGTGTCATTATGTTTTTATAGACCAGACACGTGTCCGTTCTAGGCCAGTGAAATTGCAGTAGCCAAGGTGGTGCTATTCATCAGCATTCTGGAATCACAATTGGAATAGGTGCATAGTTTTTGCACAGAGGAGGGGTTCTAATTCAGATAATTCAGCCTCTCGACCATCTTACCCCTCCCCCTAAAAAAAGTTGCTCCATGGTACTTTCATTTTCAAAGCAAGTTCTACTTCATTCCAATGTCTTTAAGTGCCTACCTCTTGATTGCTGACTTTCAGTGTGCGAATCATAAAATCCTGAGTTACTCTCAACTGGCTAATCTGCAAAAGCATAGCAAACATGGAGAAAAATAACAGCTAGAATGTTGAAACCCCATGCTTCCTTAGTGTAGTGGCCTCATTTTTGTCCAACCATGAACTTGATCAATATGGAGGGCAACCTGTCAACCAAATTTTTAGGAAAAATATTTAAATTCATTGTAGTCAGGAAAAACAGTTGCATATACATGTACATGTAGTTATAAATGCAATTTTAAGTGCTCATGTGCATTTAGCTTCATTATGGAAAGTGAAAGGGACAAGCAGTGTATTGGTAATATTTTTGGTTGATGTTTCGGACAAATTCTGTTGTTGTTTTCATTGCTTGTAAGATAAAACCTCCAGAATCAATAGCAAGACCCGTAAATGTACATAGCCAAAATTGGTAAAAAGAGGTCATAGAAATGTTTCACTTCTTTTTTATTTGACTGCCTTTCGTATTTACTGAAAAACAAATACAAAACGAAAATTTGCAATTGTTCACGACGTTTGGCTGTGAAGAGTTAATAACTGGCTGCAGTGAGATCTGGGCAACCAGTCAACATGGCAATAACTTGGTTCAGGGCAATGCCAGCATGATGTCATGTCCATGACAGAGCTTTTATTGAACTCAGCGAATAAACCATACATCCATCATCTAGTAATGGTCAAGGAAAATACAGACCAGGACATTTTGGATCATATCTCTGAATCGTTAATTACATATCTCAAGATTTTGTTGCGTTTCTTGTGGCCCCTCTTGTTTTTGAAATAAGAAACAAACAATTTCCATCCTTTGTTACTCTTAATCGTGAATAGCTTGGCATGACAGCCTGTACACTGTATGTTAAAGCCAACATGTTTAAAACATTTTTTAAACGACATCACAAGGTAACTTGCACTTTGAGTGATTTCTGGAAAGTTCTTCAATGTTGGTTAACTTTTGACAGGTACAAAGAGAGTGTGTACTGTTAGCATGAACAGTTTCTTGCAAAATGTTCTGAGAAAGTGTTGAGTACACTTCCCTTAAATCTATAAACCTAGACAATTCTGTAAAATTTTGGTATTTCTAGACTCCAGAGAGCAGGTACATGTAAGTTGCGCAAATAAATGTAAGTACTGTAGTTATGCAATCTAGTGAGAACCAACTGCACCATTACATTTTGAAACAAAACTCTTGTACTTACCAAGCTCACTGTAACATTTCCAAATTCTTTTGATTCATTTTCATCAGCCCAGTACTTCTCACATTTGTGCTGGTGAAGAAAAATATAATTTAAGGTTAACAATCCCTGACATATTAAGTAAGAAACAGACTAAAAACTAAAAATCCTTTCTTTAGAGAGCACTTGCTTGTGTTCTTTTATTTCATTAAAATTTATTTGGTGACAGGCAAAAAAATATCCTGTGGGTTAAACACAATCTTGCAATATTCACAAATACACTCAACCAAAAAACAAAGCCCCCTTAATTAATACCTTTTGTCTAACTCAAAACTACTGAGCACATCTTGCTCAAATAACGACTGATCAGTACAGAAACTCCTTAGCAATCCAGCCATATTCTGTTTGGCCCAAAACAGTGATAATGTGTACAAAATTATGCAATTTATGACAAATGGTACCGAAAACGTTGCACTTTTGTATATGTGCAAGGTGAGGGTGAACCACAACTCGCACATATACAAAAGTGCAACTGTTTTTGGTGTCATTTGTCATAAATTGCTAAAATTTGTAAACATCACTGTTTGGGCCAAATAAAGAGTATGGCTGGATTGCTAAGGAATTTCTGTACTGATTAGTCGTTATTTGAGCGAGAGGTGCTCAGTAGTTTTGAGTTAGACAAAAAGTATTGGAAGGGGGGGGGGACTTTCTTTTTTGGTTGAGTGTAGTACCTTTCCACTTTCAAATTCGTTACAGGCCATGATAACCACCTCCACCCCTGTATTCCACAAAAGACGCCAAAAGTCAACGACCGTGTGCGGTAAAGGACCTTGAGCTGCAATATACACATTCTTACCATCAATCCCCTGGAAAGGAAATTAGGGAAGGAAGAAAATATCAATTTCAATTGTATACATACATAATTGTATATACTGCAGGATTACATGTACATGTACTTGTACCGGTACATACCGTTCATCATACCGGTATCAAGTGTTTGAAACAGACAGGTGAGATGGGCGATATACTAATTAGCAGAAATGGGACTATTTTCTATGTCTCTGCTGGAAATGATCCAAATCTACAAAACAAAGTGTCTATGCCCTTGCTCTCATCATGGACATATTATTGCAGCAGGAAGTCACGATACGGACAGTGGGGAATAATACCGCAGTGTTGTTGCAAGGATCAACCAATCTCTATTGAGAATTCAAGTTTGCTTGAAAATGACAAAAAAAATACACTATTCTTATTAACTGTTCGCAAGTTGAAGGAGAGGGAGCAAAATTTGAGAAACCTCCCAGAGTTTCCATCTCCTACAATGAGAAGTTCGAGTTTTGATCGAGCACACCTTGCACATAGTTGTTCTTTGTTAAAGAAAATAGACCCATCTTTGATATTTCTTCAAATTAATCATGATAATGTTGCGTTGAATATTCCATTGACCACTGTTTATGAGGCATATATGTAATCAGGGTGATGACTGTCTGTGCAAGGGTCATTCATTTTAGCCCAGCTACAGTTACAATCTGAGGCATCATCCAGATGTGGTGTGTCCTACATGTATAATCAGCATAGTTTCTCCTATCCCTTATCAGCATAGCAACATCCACCCATCTCTGTTGATTTGCAAAATATCAACACTCAGTATCCATGGTAACATGGCTAACTGCATGTATTATTAACTTTATACTTTATAGGAAATGCTCAAAATGGTTTGGAACAAGAATATTAACCCTAACTCCTGGAGCTCTTTTACTAGAAAGTATCCTGAATCCGCCAAAATCCACCAATTTTGTCATGCAAAAAATGCTGGTATCCTAAGTCCATCAGAATCCCCCAGTGTAGATACTGGAGGTATGCTGAATCCGCCAAAGTCCACCAGCAAAAGTTTTGATGGATTCTGGCAGATTCATGATACCATGGTGGCATAAAAAAAATACAGCATGTTTTTCCATAGAGTTTTCAAAATCCATCACCTAAATTTCTGGTGGATTTTGACGGATTCAGGATACCACGCTCGCATGAAAATTGTGATGTGTGTTGTTGCATAGGATCCATAAAAATACACCAATGCATGGCGACCCCAGCATGGAGTACCAAAGTGAATACATCTTGCGCACAAAATGTGTGTGAAAGACATTAGCGCGTGTTTCAGCCCGTAAACCATAGATAGAATGAAAAGACTAGATCGGCAGCGCGTCCACACGCGCCCATTCACTGTGAGATAAATCTCCGCCATTTTGGTTGTCTCTCGTAGACGCTCAACAAATTAACGTTAAGTAATGGAGCTAAATGTATCTTTCCTCCAGCACGTGACCTAGCTCAACGCGCGCGAAGCTAGAAATGCGCACCGAGTATTTACGCGATGCGCACACATAATTATTAGCGATGCACATGGTGCTCTTTGCGCACAAACGGCGTTGCGTTCGTCACGTTTTCGTGCATTATTTGTATCTTTCCTCCAGCACGTGACCCGCCATGCAAGTCCACACGTGTGGACGCGCTGCTGATCTAGTCTTTTTATTCTATATCTGTGCCGTAAACCCACACACGCGCGTACTCCATTCGTTTGCCCTACACTTTCTGGTTTTAAATGACGTCACACTTCGGTACTCATTGTCTGGATGGGTTATTAACACAATCCATTGTTTATATGCTGACGCCTATTTATAGCCCCAGTCACAAGCGCCCATCCACCCAGTACATGTGTGCACATGTTTGTACAGTATGTGACAGACTTGGCAGGGCTAGTGCCAGCAGTATTGACCACAAACATTGCAAAAGAGTTAAACTGTTGAGATCCTGAATCCATCAAAGTCCCCCAACAGCTCAAAATAGAGGTATCCTGAATCCATCAAAATCCCCCAGTTTGTGCAATATGGAGGTATCCTGAATCCGCCGAAATCCCCCGAAACAGGGGGGTTGATTTTGATGGATTCAGGTATGTTAATGTTAAGCCATTTACCTTGATGTAGTTAGCATTGATGTAGTCTGATCCTTCAACACCTTCTGTCTCGGGTAGTACAATACGAGTGTAGTCAACTGAGGGCACAAACGGACAAGGTTTTTTTTCACACCCCCATAGATAAATACCATACATGGAATAATGTAACTAGTGCATCAGTGTCCAATATGCCATGAGGCCAAATATGTGTGGAGTGGCATAATAGACCCACCTTCATATATTCCAGATGCACACTAAACATACAAAGCAAAGACTGTGAAAATGTTTTAGCTACATTGTGTATCAAGCTACATTTGTATCATAGTCACAGAGGCCTGATAAAAAAAGGACTGAGATTTAGTGAGTCAAGTAGTGCTTCACACATGTACATGTACATGTACCTTAGCTCACGTCACAACCACCTTCCGGTAGGCTTCCATACTGATAAGGTTGTCATTCTTACAGAGATGTTAGGAAAAAATCAGTGGAGGCTGACTTTTTGTTGAAAAGTGTGGCCTGGCTCTGGTGATACGCTGTGAAGTTCACTCATTTATTTTTTTAATTTATTTATTTATTGGTCTATTCAATTTCTTTAACCAAGGTATGCCCAATCAGTTTAAAAACTGGTTTCCATCGGGGCCCTACATACATTACAAATTATTACATAATATTAAGTAAAGTTAAACTCATAAGAAATTTTTAGACGATCATCAATATTTACAAACTTACAAGTATTTCAGAGATATTACAGAAATAAAGCTATATACACATGTTAAACATTCAAGTATAACTATAAGGCATGAATTACTGATCACGGGGTGGACGAAAACTCCACGAAAACCCTTTGGGGGAAAAAAACACAGGGAAATTCCCGATCCAGCTCCAAATTAATACCATGGCAACAAAGTTAATAACTCCGTAGAACAGCGCATTTTGACCTGAATATCACTAATTGATGGCTTTGCGTACAATGTAGTTCTTATTTGAATGGCTGTAAGGAATCTATACAAAACTTTCTCAATTGTTCAAGCAAATTATTCCCTACATTCGTACCACTTGCTCGAAACTTTTGGCATAGCATTCCTTTTTGGCAAAAGGGACTTTCAATGCCTTGTTAGTTGATTGTCTTGTTTCACGAATCTGTGTAATTGGTGTGAAAAGATTTCCGTCCAAAACCGAGATTTTCTTAAATCTGAGATTTTCGGCTATTCTAACATTTTATGATGTCCATAATTACCAAATTTCGAGACACAACATTCCATCGTTTGTTAATAATGTTAACTGCACAAAGTGTTGAAAGTGCTACAAACTAAGTTTTTCGTTGTGACGAAGTGACGAATCTCTTTGTGTCACTTAGTCTCATTGAGTTTACACGTGTGCTATATTTAGAAATATGAAGCCTCCACGATTTGCGTTTTGACGAAGTGACGCATCTGCGTTCTAAAAATGTATACATTTTATATACGCGCACGCACTGTGTACAAACATATGTCTCAGTTATATATTTTTCAATTCTGGGGGAGAAATGAACACAAAAATGCCACTTGAAAAATCCACCAACTTCAAACGCAATTTTCTCAAAACTCGGTTTTGCATCTTTGTGCACAGATGTGTCACTTCATCAAAACGGTGACGATTTGTCATGTACAAAGGAGTCATTTTATTTAGACTTTTGAAAACAAGAATATCCTTTTTATACTTAGCTCTTTGAATTTTATTTCCACAGATGTTTTCGAAATTTTAAAGTCAGTGAACCCAGGCAAGGCAAGCGGTCCGGACGGTATTCCTGGCAAATTGTTATGTGAGTTTGCGCAGGAGCTTGCACCTTCACTCACTGCAATTTTCAATGCTTCTCTCATGCAAGGCAAAGTTCCTTCTGACTGGAAACTTGCAAATGTCACTCCGGTTTTCAAAAAGGGGGACAACAGCTGCGCTGTGAACTAACGTCCCATATCCTTGCTTAGCCTGGTCTCCAAAGTTCTTGAACGGTGTATTCATAAGCAACTTTTACCATTTCTGCAACCACTTATATCTGACTGCCAACATGGATTTATGCCTAATCGCTCTTGTATCACACAATTAGTTGAATTTACCCACAACCTTGGTTCTAATTACGACAGGGGGTGTGATACTGATGTGGTTTACCTGGACTTCTCAAAGGCTTTTTACTCCGTCAATCATTCTAAGCTTATTGAGAAGCTCAGGTTTGCTGGCATCGGTGGCACACTTCTTGCCTGGTTCCACAACTACCTAGAGGGCAGATTGCAGAGAGTGGTCATCAATGGTGCTCATTCAGACTGATTACCAGTCACCTCTGGTATTCCGCAGGGCTCAATCATAGGACCGATGCTCTTTGTTGTTTTTATTAATGATATGCCTACTTGTGTCTCGCCAGATACACGAATTGCGCTCTTTGCTGATGATGCAAAATGTTATCGCACCATAGCCACCAATGACGACCAAATAGCTCTGCAAAATGATCTCGATGCCATTTTTAATTGGAGTAAAACTTGGGATATTGACTTCAATGCTAAAAAATGTGTTGTGCTACCTGTCAAAACCCGTAAACAACATCATGTTGCCCATTTTGATTACGAACTTGGTAACCATAGTTTACTCTCTGTCGATAATATGAATGATCTTGGTATTATGGTGACCAACAGTTTGAGTTGGAAGTTGCACATCAACAAAATGGATTGCAAAGCCAACTGCATTCTAGGTATGATCAGGCACACTTGTTTTGATGTTCACGACACTGTTACTCGTAAAATTCTTTATTTAACGCATGTTAGGCAAAAAAAAAAAAATTCGGTCTCTGGTCAGACCAAAGTTCTGGAATTGACGCGGCCACGCGGCTTTTTTTTTTTTCTTCAAGCTTGGATTGTACAGACAAGGTGGGGTACTATTTTGCCTTTTTGGTGTCCGCATGTACATTGGTGTCCTCCATAATTTGCCTTGGTGCTCTCAATCATTTGCCTTGGTGCAATTTCCCATTCCTTGGTGCTCTTTGGTAAAAAAAATTGAGGAGGTACGGCAATAGAGGGCGCTGTTGGAGCTACCGCAGAACATTTTGGGGAAAAAAAAGGATTGACGTGCATGATTAAAATCGACGCGCGCGCTGACCAGAGACCGACTTATATTTTTTTTGGCCTTGGGCCCATTTTGGAATACGGGTCCGAAGTTTGGAATCCTCATGCTAAAGGCCTTAACAATGCGATTGAAAAAGTTCAGAGACATGCCACCAAATCTATTCTGAGAAGTTCTGCCTCGTACGAGGAGCGTCTGAAAGAGTTAGACCTCCTAAGCCTAGAAGATCGTCGCAAACTCAAGACCAATGTTCTCTTTTTCAAGGGCCTCCAGAATTTGACGTCTATCACAATTTATGATAAGGTCAGCTTCCGCAACACTGATTTCCACAATCTGACATCCTCCGATTCTCCCACTTTTATTCCCAACAAATGTAAAACTGGCATTTTTAGGCAAACTTTTTTTAACCGCATAAACAACTCCTGGAACGAAATTCCATCTAACCTAAGAAATCCACAAGTGCTTTCTTTTTTTAAATCGGGCCTACATTGTACTTGACCACTACTCACTAGCCAGTGATGTGTAATTTGGGTAGAGTTCACCCGTATATTTTTTATTATGCTAGTGCAAAAATTTGTGGCCGCTTTTAATCGTAGTTTTTCCTTTTTCTATTGAGTTTTTTCTTTGAACAGTATTTCCTTGTTTTCTTTGATTGTTTGCTTGTTGTTGTCCTTGTCCCCTGTTTTTCGGTTTTGATGTGTGAACAAGAGTCCCCATTTAGTGGGCCTGTGTGCCTGTTCGGGGTTTCCCTTTTGCACCACATGTCATTTCTAATGTATTTGTGCAATGAAGGTAATAAAATAAAATAAATAAAATAAACTCTTTAAAAAAATGGGACCCAGTTTATTCTAGCAAACATATGCACTGAAGGGGTGAGGAAGGTACATTTAAGGATCGTCCGTGCGGCTTTCTTTAGACATTTGTGGAGAATATTGTTGTGAGATAAATGTATCTTCCTCCTCATACAGTACAACAGTATTTAAAAGTTGGCATAACTGAGCTTACAACAATTGTGTGCAAGCTGCTTTGGGTATTAACATACCCAATTTAGACGAAACTATTTTTCTTACATTCGTGTATGTATTTATTAACGTGTGGGCCCCAACTTAATGGTTTGTCAATAATAACTCCCAAGCATTTACAACACTTTGCTATTAACAATAAGACTACCAGTATCAGCTATGTACATGTTCAATTGTATTGGAGATTTCTGCTTTGAACCAATCAGCATGCATTTAGCATGCATGCAACAATTGCTACATGTTAAAGTAGAGTCATCTGCAAACATCAACAAAAATAGTTTTGGGGATATAAGATGGTAGATCACTGGTGTAAATAATGAATTAAAGTACACCTAAGAATGACCCCTGCGGAACAGGGGTCATTCTGGCGACCATCTGGCGACCTCCCAGATGATGTAGAATCAGCCTGGTCCTGCATATCCTCAAACATCCCTGAAACAGCTGATGTAATAATCGGGAGGAAACAACGCCCGAAACAACGCCCAAAATAACGTCCTTGGCTTAACGACGCACATGACCCTCCCCTACCCCACCCTACCCAACAAACTGAAATATTAAACTACCGGTACATGTAACTAAAAGATCAAATGCTTACATTTATGTACATGTACGACATCACCACCATCACCACATTCCCCCACCCCGTTCCCCACCCTTCTCCCATCCCCTTCCCCTACCCTTTTGGAACAAAATTCGGCAAGTCAGAATTCTGAATAAATTAAAAAAGTTTCATCCCTGCTCTACATGCATTCAATAAAATCTACATCAAGTCTACAGTCTCACCCCGTTTGGTTAAATGAGTGTTTGGATTTGGGGTTTGTTACCAAATTTTCCTATACATGTAGATGCAATGCATGCATCAAATATCCAGCCAAACCAATACATCTATGTAAATCATCAATGAAGAGCATTTTCTTTTCCGTCAATTTTGCCCCCCCCCCCCCCATTTTATTAAGCAAAAGTTTTTCTCGAAATAGCAGAGAATTACAGAAAATGTTCCGTATTATTTGATAGGTTCTGCAGTTGTATGGGTCCCATATATGGTACACATGCAACTGAATGGGAAATAAGGAATAGGACATATTTCTTTCATAATTTCAAGGTAGTATACTCACATGGCAATATATCTTTGTATCTGTTTTTGCGTATGTTGCAGTCACGTTCCCCTTCCTGAGAAGGGTAAGTCTTTTCTGTCTTATACCTCATAGACTGCTGCTTGAGTGCCTGTAAATTATGCAAAACAACCAAAAACAAGATTACATGTACACTGCTCCCCTTAGTAGCCAATAAATGCAACTTACATGTGACAGTATCCACGTACAATTAGTTCCCAGGATGTACCAAAGATAAAGGAGTAAGCACTAGTGTTGGGCGGTTCAAGAATTTCTGGAGCCGGTTCCAGTTCTCTAAAAAAGAAGTGGTTCTACATGTAGTCGGAACCAGCTCCCGGAAAATTCAATAAAACACAAAAGCCCTTGCAATTACATGTAAAGTAATGGTAAATGTGTCACCTTCAAGGTCCTTGCTCCGTGAATTTTGGTGTGCAATACATGTTATTCTATAATGATTGGCTTTTTCTAGCGAAACTATGGATATTGTGTTATTAAAAGCAAATTTAAGAGTTTATTACTTTATTTTCTGTTCCTTGCCTATGATTTTGTTTACTGCGCCGACCGCCGACCGTGTAGAATGATGCACCACACACGTACCGGTACCGGTAAACACGATCGGAGCTGGCTAATTGTACCAACGTGTACCTGTTGTACCCTGGTCCATCAGAGCCGATTCCAGCACTCAGGTCCGGTTCCAAGCATGCTCGCACTAGGAGTCAAGCTTACCCAGCAGCAAGTAATTTGTACACTGAATGCGTATGCGTAAGTTCCCCGCTAGCGAGCTGCGGGGTTAGGCAGTCTGATAAAACCTGACTCCTATGATATGACCAGAGTGCTGAGTAACTTGTGATCTCCGCTGGCTGCACTGCAGGCATGCTTGGACCCGGCTCTTGAGTGCTGGAGTCAGCTCTGATGGACCTGGGTACAGGTACAAATACCCGGCTCTGAACGAGTCATGGATCTACACAGATGTTAAATTGCATGAACATGAATACATCCAGTACCTCAGGTTGCTCTGGTAAAGGTTGGTGTGACGGCAACTTGATACATACACCAGACAAAGTTTATACAGAGGCAACTGGGCAGACCGGCCAAATGAATAATTTTAAAGATCATCACCTTCATGAATACAGAAGTATAGGGCCAATTTTTATTTCTACCATGGAAAAAAATCCTGATGTCTCGATGTACTGGGACGGTGCGGGTAGCAGTGTCGGTAACAACTCGATTACTCGAGTACACACAGGTACTCGGCCCGTACTCGACTATCAGTCCTCAAAAAAATGCTGGACTTGGCCCGTACTCGATTCTTCATACTCGAAAAACCGGACTGGACGGTTTGGTAATCGGTACTCGACCCCAGTAATCGGGAGTACACATCCAGTTCATTTCTTTTTAATCGATTCAATTGCTCAACCTGGAACGCATTGCTAGTACGATGGCGCGGTTGCAGCCTGCATTACGGCTTAGTCTAGTTCCCGCCTCCCCAATGTTACTAACATTCATGAATTGGGAGCTATCCGCGCTCATGCTTCTTATGTTCGTTCGCTCATCTCTTCACAGTTTTTCAATATGTAGGACTATTTGTGTACAATTGAAATAACAAACAACCAGCAATTGAGGTCTCGCTTTTTGGTTGGTTTTGTAAATTTTGGGTTTTTCTTGGGTACTTTGTTGTCTGGAAAAAGGTTTCTTCAAAATAGCTAATACTTCAGGTGTCTTTTTTTTTTTTTTACAGGTGAAAACAAAGAGTGCCAGTTCATTCATTGATTTGATGAATTTTGTTTTCTATGAATTTTTTATTTGTTACATTGTTTACACTAATAAAAAGTTGTTTAGTGTCAACCAGTTGGTAAAGAAGATAAGATAGCATGCTGTGTTTGTTTCTATTTTATTTAATTTATTCGTTTATTTTGTTAAATTGATTTGTGTACTTTTTTGGTATTGTTCTCGAACTCGGACTCAGACTCGAACTTAGGTACTCGGCCCAGTACTTGGCCTTGAATGGTTTCTTACTCGGTGCTTTGGACTCGGACTCGTCATAGTGTACTTGGACTCGGACCTGGACTTGACCCCTAAAGTACTCAGAGTACTCTGTACTCAGCTTACTACTGGTTCAGACGAAATTGAATGATCAACGTGATACATGTACTTTTAATTTGCATGCATTTTTACAGGGACAACTGCAGCTAAAAGAGGATAGAATGCTCGAATATTGAAATTGAATGATTCTTTTTTTGATTGGTGAATGACGATCTGTGTGATCTTTCAATTTCAATCTAAATTGAATGAGCCAGGCGTCAAATTAAATGAAAACTTGGTGAAATTGGCCAGGAAAAATGTTTATTCACATATTTGGGTATTTTTTGGGGGAAAAGTATATTTTAGGGATTCTACTTACCTGTCCTTGCTTAAATAACATTTTCTAAAGAAACCGGATGAGTATGAGGACATAATAAAGATCCAAAATGGCTACCTTTTACTCCAAAGTTGCGCGCATTTACATTTCCCCCAGATATCATGAAGTAGTCTTGACAAACCTCAGTATTGATGAGCTTCAAATTCACAAAGTTACTTACTTGCACAGTAACAAAACTAAATGGAAATCGTGTGAAAAATGAAAACATCTTGATAGTTAGCCCAAAAAACAAAACAGGGGGAAAAATAAGGTGTCCGTAAATTCGGATAAAAATTAGCCTAACGTGGGAGACTTGAACAAGTTTAAGGAAATCCACAAAACTAAGAGATTATTGTTGCTTACAAAAAATATGTCAATGTCGAAATGTTGTTATTTTACCAATGAATTTGGGAACTTGTTCAAGTTTCCCAAGTTAGGCAACCCTTACCCTACCTTTTAGCCCATTTTACAGACACCTCGTTTGTCTTTATTTGCTGGGCTAAATATCACAATGTTATCATTGTTCACATGATTTTTCCATAAGGTGTTAATAGAGTAACTGTGCCAGTAAGCAACTTGGTGAATTTGAAGCTAATCAATACTGAGGTTTAGCAAGACTATACTGAATGATCTCTGGAGACAAGATAAATGCACACAACTTTAGGGTATAGTCATTTTGGATTGTTAGTACATTGTTTTGTATGTCCTCATGATTATTCAGTCACTCATATGCGTTATGTTAGAAAGTTAAACTGAAGTAGGATGTACTACTTGGATTTTTTAGGACTTTTATATATCATTCTAGGGACCTTAGGGCCTAACCTGGCCTATAGAAATGCACTGTGGTAAAAACAATTCTGTTGCAATTTGAGTGAGGTCAAACCTTATTTTGCCTGGACTAACTGGATATTGCATATATTCTGCAATGTTCGAGAAAGTGTCTGAAGTAAGGTGCTCTCTACCATGTGTCCACAATGCAATATTTCCGGCCGGACACGCGAGTGTGGAACAGATGAGTTCCAAAGTTGTTACAAAATACAAAAATGAAAAATAGAATTAGCTGTTGCAAACTGCTTACCAACCAAAAGGACCTATGGTATAAATGCAAAAAAATAGTTAGTGGCCTGACGTTTCGACCCTAGCAGAGTCTTTCTCGAAGGCTAAAAATGTTTAGCCTTCGAGAAAGACTCTGCTAGGGTCGAAACGTCAGGCCACTAACTATTTTTTTGCAAAATACAAAAATGAAATATTTTCAGCCCTCATCATGGTAGTGGATTTTTCAGTGTCGCTCGACAGCAGGTAGCTTACCTGGCAAAATGGCCTACAAGTTAAAAACATGGCCGAAACATCTGAAGCCCATACTTATGTATGGTTGTAGTGGGTTATGTCCTGCCGAAGCAGGCAGGGATTTGAGCTGGAGAATTCAAAGAAACTAATAAATCGTCGGCTGCACCACGAACCGACGTATCGCATTTTTTTGTGTTTCGAGAAAAACCGATTTAAAGTTGGTCATTATTTTGTAGGCTCATTCCATATACTCCCTGTGTAAGAATTCAAACTGTTTCGTTTTTGCTATTAAATTATAGATTGAACTTTATTGTATGCAATCCGTGTGCATCTGAGTTGCTTAGTTTTTGAGAAATTCAGTTCCAAAGTTATTTGTCACTTCGTGAAACAGATTTTTATCATGTTTATTGTATGTCATACAACGCGCTTAATAGTGGCCGTGTGCCAGATACGGAGATACGTCGGTTCGTGAAACGCTTAATTCAAATTTTTCATGTCAATGCGCCTTTGTGACGTCATAGCACTATGGGAATTAGCGTGTGAAGTGGCGTATAGTGGGGCATTTATCATTTTTTAGAGATATGCCACACAGTCTAATTAGCGTTCTTAGTTAATTAGAACTCCGATCGGAATAAAACTTTCTGAACACGAGCACTTTGATGAAATAATAACGTTAATGACAAAAACACAATTGAGCAAAAAATTGAGATACGCCGGTTCACGGTGCGACCGACGAAATGTTCCATGTATCAGTAAAAAAAAAAACTAAAACGAAAAATATCAAGCCCATTATCACGGTAGTGGATACTACCTGCGGAACTCTTATAACTGAAGGTCTTCCCGGGTGAATTTTCCCAAGAAAAAAATCAGAGGAGTTGTTGAGGATGTAAGACACCTATCCACATTAAAATAAAAATATTGTGATCATTTTAATGTTGGTTCTGTAGCGATAAAGATGCCCCTCCCAGGCCAAAAGCATCGGACCCATGATACACGTACTGTACATGCCGTGCATGAGGCCTATAGCGTGTGTACAAAAACCTGAGTGGGTAAAATGCGGAACTTTTTTTTATTGAAGGTCTTCCAGGGTGAATTTTCTCCAGAAAAAAAATCACAGGAGTTGTTGAGGATAATACACTTATTCACTTTAAAACTGTATTATTGTGATCATTTTTAATGTTGGTTCTGTAGCGATAAAGATGCCCCCTCCCACGGTATCGGACCCATTACACGTACTTTACATACTGTGGCGAATTTTTCCTGGGAGTCGAATTCAAACTTGGAGCCCCAGGAATAACGACACCCGTCTGAGGCGAACGCACCCGGTTTCCCAAGTCCAAATGGTACCTTAGACCCTAGAAACTACTCGCGCAATCTAATGGCCCTAGGGAATGAGCTCGTTTTGGGGAAAATATACCGCTAACTGGTTGCTGATAGTCTGTGCTCCGAATTACTCTGAAATTAACTCAAATCTGACTCAACTGAAAGCCTCTTTAAAATAGAATGACTGAAGAACCTCTACAAAAATAATGAATGACTCGGCAGCCTAACACTGGCCAGACCACCGATGTTTACATGCAAGGTCACTGGCCCCACGCTGTAAGACTCTGTGTTCACTTGTCTCGATACTTGAATTCACAACGGAAGTTAGCCGAACAATCATGGGTTTTTTCACTGAGCGGGTTTTCTTTCCAACCCAACACTGTGACCCAAAATGCATGCACTCAATTCCTTACTCTGTGTGAACCAAGTATTTCAACACTACTTTACAACAACAAGTCTCAAGTTAAACTAGAATAACGGTACAAAGAGACCGTACAAATAAACAGTACAACTAAACAGTACAATTTAATAATTCCCTCAGCTTACGCTGTTCACTATCGGCGTACACTCTGGCTTAGTACAGGAGAACAATTGCGGCCAATCTGCTATGCACGCGCTAGCCAACAGCGGAGTACGGTCAATTCCTCCATGACTCCAAAGACGATGGGTAAACGAAACGCCAAAACCGCAACTGACAGCTTTGGACCGAAATACCACTCCAAACTCAAGAATTACTCACTTCAGTCGACGTCTCTAGACCAGGGTACTCTGGCTTGACTTGAACTCACGCAACTCCGGCGAATATACGAACACAAAGTGGCACTGGCATGTCTCAAAAGTTTGCTCTGAACTTTCTCCAAAAACACGAACCATGATCTCCAACTATGAACTGATTTCTGAACACGAACATGAACTGATTTTCCCACTCCGCGCACGGCTTTTTATATACCGTGGGCGAAACCGCAAGGCATGGCTGAAAGCCCCGCCCGGCAACAGCGTGGGAAAAGCAGATTGACTTCTACCGCGTAGACTGGCGCTTGTCCACACAGTCTTTACCATGAAAACAATGACTTAACATAAGCCCCTAAAGTAGATTCTGGGTTACCCGTTATTTTATGATTAATATAAGACATAACAATTACGTCTATTAACAAGAGCTGTCAATCAAAGAATCAGATTTGTTCCCAGTCGCTACCGCTGTCTTGTCACAAAACTGTGCATTAGGCCTATAGCGTGTGTACAAAAACCTGGGTGGGTTAAACATGGAACTCTTATCACTGAATGTGGAAAAGCATCAGACAGACCAATCACAGGGCACTTTGATTGGTCAACTGGATTGGTCACCAATCAAAGTGCCCTGTGATTGGTCAGGTGACAAATCAAAGTGCCCTGTGATTGGTCTGTCTGATGCTTGCCAGGAAACAGTCTAGCCAGCCATGCACCAGTCTACTTTTCCTGAATTCAAAATGGCAGCCTCAAACAAGGTGTTTGTGACAAGGATGTTTCCCGAATTGAAGGTGAAATTTCTCTTTTCTTCCAAAAGTTATGTAAACCTAACCACCACCATTTGTATATTTCCAATTCCCACTGAAGCCTACAGGGTCGCATAAGGCAGTTTGAAGACTGTTTTGGGGGTGAAATCTGAAGATTTTGATTGAGGGCACGAGTGAAAATGGTCAAAAACAGTTATTAGTAACGCAATAAGGCTACGTACCAGTACCTAGGACTCTACTATAGCCCGACCATGTCCAAATGTTAAAAAAGGCAATTCGTAGAGTCCTAGTTACTCGGACTACTCAAGCCCTAAATGACAACCCAATGATAAAATTTAGGGCTGGGTAACTCCAGCTACAATTTATGATGATTTTAGGACCGAGTAATGGGATTTGAACGTCAGTCTTTTTTCCAATTGAGTATTTTGTCTCTGTTCAGTATAATCTTCATTGTTTTGCAGAGTTCTGCAGAGTTCCGCACGTTCTGCAAGTTCCGCAAAATACAGTCGTTTTCCTAGTTCCGGATTTGTCCTAGTTCCGGATAGCTTCAAATAAAAACCTACCTCTTTTGGATAAGTCTCCAATAAAAAAATTTCGGACGATGTGCATTTTGAAAAGGAAAATGTAAGCTCCTTGATTACACAAAGATTTTTCCGATAAAATCTTTAGAAGAGGAATTTTGGCCAGATTTCCGACTCGCACTTTGACATGTTTGGACGGTTTGTAGAAAATCGAGGGAGCTGCGAATCGACGATAAATTTTCTCCTCGTTATATCACTTGAACCGTGTGATTTCGAATATTTTGTTCACACACTACAGTCGTATAAACTATTCCATCGAATGCTTGTTGAATCAAAAATAAGTTGTAAAGTCGCAAATTTTTGAAAATTCACAAACGAATGACCGTATGCTTTTGCCTAGTTCCGGATAGCGCGGGCACTTACGACCCAACTACACGTGCGTTATCATCGATTTTGTGTGACGTATTCTGTGCTGTGTCAAAAGATTTTCGGTCCGTGCGTGAGTTCGAGCCGTTGCGCTGCAGACAAAAGTTTCAAAATCATTTACGTTTTTTTCTCTTTTTAAAATTTGCTGGAATTCTCTTGAATGAATTATTTTTGGAAAATGAAATAATACTTTATCAGAAGATAAGCCTATGCTTGATTTGGTTGGTTCTGGCTGAAAAAAAAAATTCTCGCGTTATTTTTTTTTTCGCGTGAAGCAGTTTTGATCGATTCGGAACTGATTGAACCGATCCGGAACTAGGAAAAGTGACATCGGTAGGGCCTACTTTTTACGTCGTAAAATCAAAATAAAAAGAGCTTAAATTTTGAAAATTATTTCGTGGTCTCTCTCCATCACTCAAGGTAAACTTTTTAATCAATGTCACTTGAATTTGTGGAGTAGTTGAGCCGAACGCAGCCTGAATGATGTTTGCTATCCGGAACTAGCTTGACTAGGAAAACGACTGTAGTCTGTAGTGTACTCGTTGCCGTAAAACATTACGATCCCGTCCGTTCACAACTTGACATGTTTACAGACTTACGCGTGTAAAACTTTATTTCACCACTCACCATGAATTCCTTCAGAAATCCATCTTCACCGTTCGTAGCCAACACCCGAAGATGTTCCTCGTGTTGTAAAAACGCTTCCAAACGTTCTCTTTGAGACATTTTAATAAGAAATCATCTAATCATAATTTAATAATAAACTGAGTAAGCTACTCTTGCTACGTAAAAGTTTAAAATTAAAGCTATAGTTTTACTAGTTAGCTTCAGGCGCGGCGCGGCTAGCTCTAGGGGAAGAGACACTGTGCATCTTTTTGTACGGTGACCTGTGAAACACGATTACGTCATCAAATTGAGCTATGGGGAAGGGCGCCCTTAGCGGTAGATAGGTAAACGCACGTGTAGCTAGCTAAATAACGTTAGCTCACCCGGCCGAGTCAACACGGGTAATATAAAAGCTGACGGGTCAGCCACCACAACCGGATCGAACCATGGAGCTATAAACATAGCTCCATGATCGAACGCACCCCTCGTGTAAACTGCGAGCGAGATTTCATTGATCAGTTAGGAAGAAAAAACGTTAAATAGCCGAATACACTGGAAATTAATTTTAAAAATGAAGGAAACGAATACATGAATAAAAGGGGGATAAATGGAGACCTGTCAGTGATAATATAGAGTGACACGTTGAGATTTTTAGCAACTTATCAATATCTGAGAATATAGGTTTTCTCGGTCAATTTCGGCAAATGAGCAGCCAATTTAACCACTACGCTATTCTATTTCGCGCGAAATCAAATGCTACTGAAAAGGGTCATTCGATTTCGTTTTATGACCAGTCAAATGTACTGTTGCGTCATTCGATTTAACAAAATAATCACGCAATTTAACAATTCAGCATTCAAATACGCAGGAGCTTTTTGAGGCGTGTGTTTAGTCATTCAAATTCATTTTTGGGCAGTCATTTCTGGAATTTGTGCAATCTAAAAAACGCTTTGTTTCCTTAAGAATGTTGAAGGCATAAATACGGTTCACTTTTTGGCACTTGAGTCACTTTGCCGATGTACTTCGAAGACGAGCTTTCGCTACAGTTTTACCCGCATATTTCTAGAAATGGCAGCTCGTGGTCGCTACGCTAGAGTGGCCCAGGTAGATCGAGAAAGGTTGATTGAGGCCTTCGAGGGAAACGAGCAAGACTACCTTGAGCTTGCGGTCAATTTGAACATCAACAAGTCCACAGCCAGATCAATTGTTGCAACATATTTGAGGACTGGAAGGCGAGAGACGCTGGCAAGAGGAGGAGCAACCCACAGCAAGATGGATGATGACATGCGAAACCACCTGCAAGGCATCCTTGACGCTAATCCCGTCTTGACACTTCAACAAATGAAGGCTAGTTTGAGTGAGCATCTGCCAGAGTAGCCCCAGGTTTCTACTGCCACCATAGCCAGGGCCTTGGATGGGATGATGATGGTACCAAGATGGTACACTGAAACTAGTGGAGGACGTCCCTGATGCAAGAAATTCCCCTGAAGTTCTTGATCAACGCGTCCAGTATGGTGAGTGGTTCCTGCAGCATGGTGTTCTGGCGCATCTAGTCTTCATGGACGAGACAGGTTATAACGTCTGGACTCGACGCTCCCAGGGTAGAGCTCCACGAGGGATCGCTGCAAGACGAGTCGTCGACAGACAACGAGGGAGAAATTGCAATGTCACCTTCGCTGTTTCTAGTGAAGTAGGCTTGGTGCACCACCGAATCGCATTCGAAACTGTGATTCGAGAGAGATTCGAGGAGTTTCTTGCGGACACAATTCAAGAGTGTGATGCAGTTTTCCCAGACGACGAACCCATTTACCTCATATACGACAATGCGAGGCCTCACGTGCGAGCCCAACTCCCTGAAGGTGCCAACCCAATGATCCAGCTGAAGCGCCTCCCTCCCTACTCCCCATTCCTGAACAGCACGGAGATGGCACACTCTGCATTCAAGGCTGCAGTTGAACGCATCCTTGGGTTACCTGAGTGGCAACAACGTGTCGGAGACAGACAGGCTGCCCAGCAAGCAGGAATGAACATGCAGCAGTGGAGGTGCGATCTCCTTCAACAAGCAGCCATCCAGAGCGTTGATGTCATCACCCAAGTGAAGTGCATGCAGTGGTACAACCATACCCAAACATATATGCCAAGATGTCTGGCACGCCAACAGATTGATGGTTGAGGAAGAAACAACATAAACAATAAAAAAAAACCAGGAAAAACATAAAGAAACACCCCATTCAAACACAATACAAAATGTGGTCTTGGTCAGTTAACCAATAAAGATCCCCCCCCCAAAAAAAAAAAATGAAGAAGAAAACAAAGAAGAAGAAAAAACCTCATTGGCCCCATGTAAAGTCTACTGGAAGTATAAATAAAGAAAACAAGGTTTGCCTGAATTAAAGTGAAGATACGAAACAGTTGCCTAGTACAGTTTATCTGTTTATTCGTATTTCTTTAGTCGTACTTATTTGAATTCTCTTTAAAGCGAAATTGATTGCCTCTTTACGAAATTGAAAAAAAAAAAAATCAGTAAAATATCCAGTCGAACCAGCTTTGCTAAATTGAACGATGATTGTGTGTCACGAAAAAGAATGACGATAATGCTAAATTGAACACAGTGCTAAAGGAATTTGAATGCCTCAAAACGACATTGAATGGCCGAATTCTGAATTTGAAACGCAGTAACAACTGGAGAGGCAAAATAGCTTCAATTCGAACGCACGAAAATTAAATTGGCTGCTCATTTGCCGAAATTGACCGAGAAAACCAACTACCATAATCATGTAAGATATTTGGGGGGAGGGGCATGGGGAGACCGGGCAATGTAACCAATAAGGACTCTATCGGCGATTGCATCAAAAGTCTACAATTTTCCTCAAGTTTTTGCCTTGAAGAAAAAATCCGCATTACCTTTGCTCATAATATGAATAGAATGCTTATATGATCCCCTTCAAATTGTAGTAGCTATGCATTACATTAAAAGCGTTGTGTTAACTTCTTAATATTTACTTTAAAACAATTTTGAAGCCATAATAAACAATAATTCACATGATGCAAAGTGAAAATAGTTTGGGTAAATGGTTCATATTACCACCCCTATCTCTGAATCATATCTATATATTTCCCTGTACAGTATTAACTCATTAGCATAGTACTGTAAACTATCAACAACAAAATTTAGGTACTTTTAGGCAATTCCCCATGAAGCAGATAAGTGGTGCTATTAATCAGATAATAAAGTGCTATAAAATGTTACATATCTGCATGATTACCAAAGAAAAAAATAGTTATCACGTTGAGTGCATGGATGGAGCAAATCTGCTTTTTACCTACCTTTTGCTGGGGGCGCCCTTCCATTATGACCTCTGAGCAAGTTTCCTGTTTCACTTTTTTCAGCGGGCTGTCATATCTTCCCTGTACTACCGTTCCTACAAAACACGCACGCGTACCGTACCAGGAAATGATTAGTTCCTTATTATTTTTATAATAATGTGGGACACTCCGTTTGCAAAAAAAAAGTGAACCAGGAAGCTGTAAGCTGCCCATGGGGAAGGGCGCCTCCACGTCACTGGTAGGTACTCCCAAGCCGAGGAACTCCCTAGATGTTTCTATAAAAAGATATATGGAATCTTCCAAACTACTATAACTATATTTATGAAAAAAGTAAGACTGCTGCAAACTGCTTACTGACTGGGTGGACCTGAAATATATAAATCTAAAAATTAATGTGGCCTGACGTTGCGAACTTAGCAAGTTCTTCTTCAGAGGCTAAAACAGAAATGACAGAGGTACATACATTAACATGGGGGTGCACACAAACATGCAGGGATGAAAGAAGAAACACAAAAGGAGGATTAGGTGCGAAAGGTGTGGAAAGATGCAGGGGAGGGTGGATGAGAGAACAAAGAAACAAAGGGAGATGGCAAACCACAAGGGGTCTGGTATGAACAGGGGAGAGACCAGAAAGGGGAAGGATCAAAGGTCACAGGGAGTGGGAACGGACAAAAGAGTGTGGGAGTGAAGGGGGATTATGCGGGGGGGGGGGGGAACAGTATGGAGGTGGAAAGGGATGAAAGATGGGGAAAGATGGGGAAACACAAACAATGAAGACCAGGTGGATTATCTGTAACAGAAGACAATGGAGGAAGAAAAATATTAATCATTTCCAAGTTGGATGTTGAGACCATGTGGTTGAATAGTTCGAAGACGATTCATCCACACTTTCTCTCTGCTGAGGCGAACTGAGTCCTTGCGATGGCCAAGAGATTCAATGCCCTGCAAAATCATATCAGAAATGGAGTGGTTAGGCAGGTTGAAGTGATGACCAACAGGGGTGTCTAGTTTCTTGGTGTTGACCGTTGACCGGTGGGCATAGAAACGCTTCTTGAGCGTATTCTTAGTCTCACCTACATACTGCACTCCACAGACCCTGCAAGAAATAAGATATATGACATTAGGGGTGTTACAAGTGATGTTACCAATGGTTCTGTGGGTAGTGACAGAAGAGTGGCCAGAAAAGGAGTCAGACTCCTGGATATGAATCTGGCAGACAACACATCTGGAACTGCACTTGAAAGTACCATGCTGGGTGGGAGGGGATGCATCTAAGGATGGGACTTCAGCTCGAACAATCAAGTCCCGTAGATTTCGAGGACGCCTGTAAGCCAATGTGGGGCCGTTGGGGATGGCGCGGGCAAGGCGATCTGAAGTATGGAGGATATGATGATTGTCATTAGTGATTTTGCGAAGGGGAGGGAGATTGGGGTGAAACGTGGTAACCAAGGGAATCATGGGTTTGGCCATGGCATCAGGGGCCTTTCCTGTGAGAGCTAGATTTCTGGGGATAGCTTTAGCTCTGGCAATGGCACGATGAACTTGGCGAGAGCTGTGACCCCTGGCCACCAAGTTGTTCCTCAGTATCTGTGTATGGCGGGAGAAATCGGAATCATTAGAACAAATTCTTCTGAGTCTGAGTGCCTGGCTAAACGCTATGCCAGTTTTGCAGTGCCTGGGGTGACAGCTGGAGGAGTGGAGGTACTGGTGGGTGTCTGTGGGTTTGGAATACAGGTCAGTGGTTAGTGAGTTGCCTTGCTTGCGGACGGTGACATCCAGAAAGTGGGTTTGGTGAGCCGAGAACTCCGATGTGAATTTGATGGTTCTGTGGAAGGAATTGATGTGGTTAGTGAAGGTCAAGAGACTGTCCTCATCGCTGGTCCAGATGAAAAAAACATCATCAATATATCTCCACCAGATCCAAGGGCGACATGGG